ATTCCAACTGGACTCAAACCCTGCAGCGGAAATGTAAACATGTCACACTGTAATCCCCCAAGGCAAAGCTTTCAAATTTCTTCCTGAATTAAAGCATGCAGTTACTGTTTTATATATAAAACATAATCTTGATCACAGAAATAGAACATATGGCTGACATTTTCAGGAGTGTGTAAGAGGTAAGAACTCAAACCCTGCTCATTTTAATGAACTGTGTATCTAACTCTCTCTGAAAATCTGAGCTCGTATTTATTAAATATCCTTTATTATGCATCTATTCTAGCTACTAAGAATTATCATTAGAACATTTAGAGTATTTTTGCAAATGATGTCCGGTTTGTGAGCTAGCTGGCTGGCTGGTTTGAAAAAAAAAAATTGGAACAGTGCCTGTATTTGTCACATTGAAATGCTCCATGTTCCACTAAATTTTGGAACACTTCAGTGTCATACTGATGTGTAGCTGTCTTGTGTGCCCCTTTTATGTGATTTATTTTAAGTGAACCAGCATACTTTAAAATCACCTCCATGGTATGCTGTGGCTGTGCTCTCCAGGCTGGGTTGCAGTAGGGTAGCAGGGCTCAACCATCTTTGTAGGTGTGCTGCAATTAAATTATTTATGTGAAAAATTATAACACATTTATAATTTTCCATGTATAGAATCTAATTATTTGGGGGGGGGGGTCATCTTAAAATATGATGTCTTGGATTTGGGTAGATATGGCACTTAGACTCATTATCTGACCTTTCTAAAGGTTAAAAATAGATATTGCCAAATAGAGTGGATCAGGCTTTGGTGAGACAAGGAAGCATGGGTCTCAGCATGGAGGCATGAGGTGGCAAGGATTCCCCAGGTCCCATGCCTCCATGCTGGAACTTGCATGAACTTTCCTGGCTTACAGAAATGAGCCCCTGGAGATAGGAAATAGGGAACCATGACATTCCCTGCCTAAGGAAGGGTTCCTTGAAATCATCTGTGGTCAGTGGAAAAATCTAGGAAGGTACTCCTGGGACTTGAGGGGTCTGATCCTATGTGGGAATTCCCCAGTGCACACATTGGTCCTCTCAGTCCCCCAGAGCTTAGGGCTGCCCACTTCTCCTGCCACAAAGCAAATAGACATCTCTTGCAGCAAAGAGGCCCTGTTGTAACACTACCTTTTCTCATCCCACTGATGTTAGGCGACATCCTGGGGTTTTTTGTGGGGGGGTGGTTTGTTTGTTTGTTTGTTTGTTTGTTTGTTTTTTCCCCTTAAGTCATTGCATTCAGTCAAAAGTGAAAGGCTGTCAGTCTAGAGAAAAAACTTATCTACTCTAAAAAAAACCAGTACGGTTGCATCCAGATGAGCGTGGCCATGCAGTATGTGGTGCTGCAGATAGGTCTGTGGCACCACATACTGCACATGCACACATGCAGGTGTTCTCCACACTGCAAAGTAGCAGCATGGGGTGGGGGTTAAACCTGGGAGATCCCAGAGTTTAAAAAAAAAAAAAAAACCTGCAGAAAAAAACCCAAAACACGGAATCCTGCACAGGGAGGCAGTAGGTGCTGCCTAAAACCAGAACCTATCCTGCTTGAGCTACACTCCATCTACTGCTGTGAGTGGCAGGGTCATGGCTGCTGCAGCCCCAGGAGGCTCACAGGACCCCAGATAAGGCTGCTGGGGCTAGACCAGTGCTGGCCCCAGCCTCTCCTACCCCACCTGGGGTAACCTGCCTTGTGCCAGAGGGCACATAGCACAGGTGTTGCCCGGGAACAAGTAGCCTCTGCCTAAGGTGTGCCTCTGTTTCTTGTCCCTGGGGAAGCAACCATCCATGCTCATGTGGACGTGGCCTGGGAGTGTTTCTGTGAAAGCTTTGGACAGTGCTGACAACAGCAAAAGACCATGCACTCTTACTGGTGTGAAGGTAGTCTTGGTAGAACAGTGACCAAGTTTGTCCAAATCTAATCTCCAGTGTACTATATATTATATGGTTGGCTAGCTTTCTGGCTCTGTAAAATAGGGTTTAATTTTATGGTAGTGCAAGTGTTGACAAACTGAAAAACAGTTACTTTTTTATCCTACTGTAAGCATAATGGAAGACTGAAAGTATAAAAACAGAGCTTATGGCGGCAAACGTAAAACAGCACTTCATGTGGAAAGGCTTCTGTGTTGAAGATTATACCTGGAGTGTAAAGAAGAGCTACTATTCCATGCATATGCTTTGTGTTATATATGTCTATAAAAAAACTTATCTACTCTAAAAGACCATTGAGACCACATTCAGACAAGCATGGCCATGCAGTATGTGGTGCTTCAGACACATCTGTGCTGCCACATACCACACGTTCAGGTGTTTTCCACGCTGCAAGGTAGCACGTGGACGGGGGCATTGACCCCAGGAGATCCTAGAGTGGGGGAAAAAAACTCGCACAAAAAAAAGTGGAGCAGTGCACATGGGGGCAGTGTGTGGCATCCAAAACCGGAACCTGGCCAGCCGGAGCCATGCTCCAGCTACCAGCCAGGCTCCAAGGATATATATATGCTCAAGAAACGGCATGGATAAGTGGCAGTTGTTTGGACACTGGTATGCAGATTTGCAAAAGTAGAAATATTATTGTTTGCCTTTGATTCTGGATTTATCTAGGACAGTGATCTTCAACCTGTGGTTCAGGGACCCACTGGGGTTCTGCAGACGAAGTCTAAGGAGTCTACGAAAGGTGACTGTGATCAATCAAAAGTGTGCGAATACTCATATTTACAATTTAAAGAGGTTCACAGCTCCCTTTGAAATTTCCAAAGGGCTCCACACCTCCATTCAGAGTTTTTTAGGCATCTGCAGATGAAAAAGTGTTGAAAACTACTGGCCTGAAATTCTCTTTAGCATTCTTCTTACGTCATAGTAAATTATATTTATTATGATACCACATAAAGGCCTCAAGTTCTTATACAAAATAAGTTAGTCCCTATCTTGCACCCCACAATCTAAATTTGAGGAGAAAGACCAGAAAGAGAAGATGCAGGGTAATACTGTGAATAAAGACATCTCCTTTCTCCTAAGAGAAAGCCTGTTGTCCCAGGATGCTCTTGGCTTCTGGACAGAGCAGTGTCGCAAAGATCTCTGCCTGCATTTCACTGCCTGCATTTCACCCTGGAGGGGAGGAACCAGTGAAAAGCAGCTGGCAGGGGCTCCTTCCCCTCCTGGTCTGTGGGAGGAGAAGTAGCAGCTGATTTCCATCCCTGCTCCCCGCCGTGTCATCTTCTAACTGGGGTGACATTAGTCTCTGAAAGGCATGGAAGCCTTTTCCCCATGGCTCCACTCCCTAGTCCCTGGGAAGAGTTAAGCAGCAGGAAAGTGTACAAGCATTCATTCTCTCAGGAGGAAGTCTCTCCTGGGAGAGTTTCTACTGGTTGAAGTCGGTTCATTTTTTGCCAGAGTAGCCATTTTTGCTTCAGGAGAAAAAGCTAGAATATCTGTAACCTTGTTGGTTCTGCCAGAAGAATAGCAGTTCTACCAGTTGAACAGAATGTATGAATGTGGCCTGTTAATTGTGGCTCATCCAAGTTAATTTCTAAGTATTCCAGGGAGAGGTTTGTCAGTCGCTGTGCTCTTGCTGGCCACCTACTGGCACAAGGGCAGAAATTCAGCTTGGAAGGGCAGTGTTAGTAAATGACTCTAAGGCTTGTGAGTTAAAACCATTTACATCCATTGAGAACATTTTCATAGATTTCAGACATTAGGACTGGAAGGGACCTCACAACATCATCGGGCCCAGCCCCCTGCCCAAGGGGCAGGAAGTGAGCTGGGGTCAAATGATCCCAGCAAGATACGCATCCAAGTGTTTCTTGAAAGTATCCAGAGTACATGCTTGCAGTACTGGGGGGAGTCCATTCCAGGCTGTGGGAACTCAGATGGTAAAGAAGTTTTTTTCTTATGTCCAACCTAAAAGGTTTTCCAGGAATTTGTGACCATTAAGCCTTGTCTTCCCTTGGGGTGCCCTGGTGAACAGACATTCTCCCAGTTTCTGATGCACACGCTTTCTATGCTTATAAGCTGCCACAAAGTCCTCCCTGAACCTTTCTTTGCTTCTCCAGGCTGAAGTCCCATGCCTCTCAGCCTCTCGTCATAAGGCCTGCCCTCTTGTCCTCTAATCATGTACGTGGCTCTTCTCTGGACTGTCTTAAGCTTCTTCTGTCAGCAAAACCCGAGTTAGCTGCCCAAACAGGAAAGGACAGCTTGGTCTTGCGTTGTGGGCACTAGCCGTGATAATATAAGTCAAGAGACACAGGAGTGCCAGTAGAAAATTTATTGCTTCTGCAGAAGGGTAGACTCCTGTCTTAAGGACCGAGAGCTACTCAGAGGAATTTTTAACTTCCATATTTATATGGTTCCTTCTACATATGCTTAGTTGTGCGCACAATGAGATTAGTCATAACATAATTTTTTCTGTTAGTTATAATTATCTCTTTTGATGGGAATCATCACAAGGGCATTTTCCTCTTTCCAGTTGGGTCAAGCCGACCTTGGCGTCTTCCTCTTTCCAGTTGGGTCAAGCCGACTCTGGAATAGTTTTCTTTCTATATTAGTACTTACGTTTCCTAAAATTATATTTAGCATTACCTATTCATGCATAGGTCAAACTGCTTACTAAACAATTTGTTAGACAGATATTAAAATACTTGAACTTATGAACTTATAAACTTCTGAACTACTTGTTATTATTCTTATGACTTACTCAATTAATCAAGCTAACCCATCTTTATATCAACTCCCCCCTTTCAGCCTAGGTTACAGTACGTACCTTGGCTGAATAGTTTAAGTTCGACATAGACCCTGATATTTAGCATTTTGAGGACGAAAGCCTTTAAAATGCACTATAAACATGAGTAGGCAATGCACACAATAATTATTACTACTAAAACAGAAAAAAAAGGGTGTTAGTATAGAACTGAGCCGCCGCTGGGTTGGGTGGAAAAAAAAAAAGGTTTTTGGATCTAAAAGTGAAAATAAATGTATTCACTTGCTCACAGTTTAGATTTAGCATTTAGTGAGCTCTCATTTGTCTTTCTTTCATAAGTCTGAGGCAACATTACAGTCTTTTTGCTACAGAACATGCTGTATAAGGCTTCACGAAACTTCTCAGCTACAAAGAAATACATGACTGGGTCAAGGGCACCATTCAGGCTAGTGAGGCAAGAAGTGACGCGGTTATTTAGAGCCAGGATTCGCTGAGTTTCACAGGAAGTCTTGGTGCTGTTATAATGGAGAATATAAATGTAACGATTGACATGATAGGGTACAAAGCAGACTAGGAAGATCATTAGAACTATGTTGATCATTTTGATGGCTTTTTCCTTCAGGTGCTTCTCAACTCTGTTGCTACTCTTCAGGCTGTGGATGATTAATAAGTAGCAGGTCACTGTAATAACAAATGGAAAGGTGAATGCCACTGCTAAGGATACAAGAGCATGGTGTGATGCTTTTTCTCTATAAAGTTGCAGGCAGACAGTTGTATTATTTGGACTGTCTGCACACTGATTAACAGAGGTGCCATTGCAACAGTAACTATAGCCCATAGAAAGGCACGTGCTAAGTGAGCGTAGAGTGGCCTGTGGAGTTTAATGGACTTTACAGGATGCACAATGGCTAGGAAGCGGTCAACACTGGTGTACATGAGAAAGTAGATGCTGGCATACATGTTGAGATAAAAGAGGAAACCAGTAAGTCTGCATGGGATCTCACCGAATGGCCAGTGATTGTTAGAAAAATGGTATACTACCCGAGTGAGAAGTATTAACACAAAAGACAGGTCAGCAACAGTAAGATGCATCAGGAAGATGTTGGCTGGAGTACTTGACTTTTGGTTCCGGATGAAGAGCCAGAGAGCTAGAGCATTGCCAACAAGAGCCAGGACGAAATTCAGGAGATAAAAAGTTGCAAAAAGGATGTTCTCTATGTGGGTCTCTTTGTCACACTGCTCTGAAGCTTTCAGGAAAGAGTTGAGTAGCAGGCTTGAGGTCTCTGCTGGGCTATCCATCTCTCACTACGTTCCTGGAAGGGCCCATTTCAACGTGGAGCGAGGGAATCTTTGCATTGGTGTATCTTGGCCTACACTCAGTCTCCTGTTTTATAAGGGTGAAGACTGGAGTCAAGAGGTGCTGGTTACACCAGTGTCGCAGCCCTGTGAAGAGAACTAAGAGAGTACTGCAATGATAAAACATAATCAGTTAATTTTTTGTCTCCTCCTAACAAGCTCACATGCGGATTCTTCCATCCTTTATACAAGGGTGGTGGGTGACCAAATAGTAACTCATATGGTGATAGATTGAGAGGTTTGTGTGGTTTTGTTCTAAGGGCAAACAGTACAATAGGCAGGGCCTCAGGCCATTTTAATTTAGTTTCAGCACAGATCTTTCCTAAAAGGGTTTTTAAGGATAAGTTTAGTCTTTCTACCTGACCTGAAGATTGTGGATGGTAAGGGGTGTGGAACTGTGCTCGGACCTCTAAGTTCTTATATGTTTAATAAATTTCTTCCTAGTAAACCACTAGGTAACCCATGTGACAATAAGAAAGCACATTCAGTGGAAAGGGGTCCGATGGTGACCTTGGTAGGGATACTATACGGGGCATAAAAAGGTCTACTTGATATTATTATTATTTGCCTGACCCCCCCCCCCCCCCCCCCCACACCAACAAAAAACACCATTTTTTT